ACCAGCCACTCCTCGGAAGGAAGGTTGGGCAATCCTACTTCCGTAGTGATACTGCCTCGGAAACCCAAGGAGGGGTCGCTATGAGTCGGGGCCGACTCGAGGGCACATAACAACAACAACAACAATGCTGTACAAGTCTCTTCTACTATCACTTAATTATAATGATTACTTTGAGTCAAACCAAAACCAAACTCACTGCCCTTGTGTCAATTTGACTTATAGCAACCCCTCCTTGAGTTTCCAAGGCTGTATCTTTGTGGAAGTAGATTGCCCAGTCTTCCTTCCAAAGAGTGGCTGGTGCGTTTGAACTGCCAGCCTTTTGGTTAGCAGTCAAATGCCTTAGAAAAAGATATTATAGAATGTAGTTAATTTTTTTTTTCCAAATTTGATACTCCGTTGCATGTTTTTTAGTTAAATGGAAATTCACTTAGTGAATATACCTGATTTCTCAAAAGATGACAGAACAATGAACCATTAGGATGTCAGTATATCTAGTTGCTGGCTGTAATTAAAAATTATAAAGTGGTATTTATTTTAAAGTATATTTTCTCCAAATAGGTGAAAATAGCAAGACTTTATCTTGCATATATCTCTGCCTTAAAATAGACTTTTGAAAAAACCTCCAAACATTTTTATCATATCAAGTTTTTATACCTTTTCTGTAATCATCACTTTTGAGAGCATATTATTTGAGTATTGACGGCATCAATTATCTGAAGTTTTACAGTTTGCGTTTAGAGAGTTAATAAGGTACAATTAAATCATTTCAACTATTCATGAATGTCCTGTTGTACTTAATAGGGTTGATTTGTCAGTGCTGATTTATACTTAACTTTCAATTCAAACATACAGATCATTTCTAAACTGACGGCTACCTTAAAAGAAAGAAAACTTTATACAGCCAGATGTTCAGAAAGTTAATTTATGATTTAAAGGTTAGAAAAAAATAAAAATTATATTCAGAGAGTTTAAAGAATATTCATGTAGTCTTACCAACAAATAATTATGAATTTAGATTTTATTTGACTCTTCTCTCACTTGCATTTTATGAATGAAATAAAAATTTGTTGAGTACAATGCGTCACAATGTAACTGGGACTTGGTAGCACCTAACAATTAGATTTTAGTTTCTTTGCTAAAAGTAACTAGGGCTCTTTGGAGAAATGACTGAGTCGAAGACTTGGAACCTGGAACATCTTAATATGCCAGGAAACGAGGAAATGTTAAAAAAAAAAAAGATGGCAGCATGTCATTGGGATCTAGGAACCATTTTGAAGGGGCTCTCACTGGCCCCAATCTGGGATAATTTGAGCATCAAAATAATTAAAAGTAATAATAAATTATAAGGCATTGAGAATAAGAAGGAATCCATGAGACTGTTCCAATAAAAATAATGCATATGTGGGTTTGTATGTACAGAAGAACTAGTGGGCTTGAGTGCCCTCTAGTAAATGTAAAGGGAGTGGTAGAATTGGAAACCATCATTTTGCCACCATCACAGTAAAGATTAGAATCACAAATGTATAGGAGAGTATAGGGGAGAAATTTTGATGAGTAACAGGATGTTTTTGCATGGTCCTAAGGCATCTGGCCTCAATTGGTTTCAGGGAAAAAAAAATAGTACCTAAACAGTGGAGAACTCGGCACCTTCTCTAGGTGATCAAAATTAACATAATCATTGAGGAATATGTGGACACCATGTGCCTCCAGATGTGATACCCTGACCAGGACACAATATCATTTAGGTACTGTTCTGGCCAGGAATGAATGCATTATCTGAATCCAGTCATAAGGGAAACATTAGACAAGCACAAAAATTTTGTACACTCTTTCTTTTTTGAAGTATTGTATTCATAAAAAATGTCAGTGTTACAAAAGTCAGAGTCTGAAGAACTCCCTATTAAATGAGACTAAATATAAAGGACTTACATTATCCTAAGACTGGATCATGTTTGTCAACAGGAAAATTAAATGCAATAAAGGACATTATTGGGTGGATTGACAAAATCTTTATATTGGTTGTAGATTAAAGTATTACATTTGTTGTTGTTGTTGTTATGTGCCGTCGAGTCGGCCCCGACTCATAGCGACCCTTCCTTGGGTTTCCGAGGCAGTATCACTACAGAAGTAGGATTGCCCAACCTTCCTTCTGAGGAGTGGCTGGTGGGTTTGAACTGCCAGCCTTCTGGTTAGCAGTCAAGTGCTTTAGCCACTATGCTACCAGAGCTCCTAAAGTATTACATAGACATTATATTTACCAAAGATGAAAACTTTACTGCGGTTTCATAGGTTATTTTTAGGGAAGGGACCATGATGGATCTGGCTTACTCTCAAATGACTCAGAAAAATGTGTGTGTGTTTGTGTTTGTGTGTGTGTGTGTGTGTGTAAAGAGAAAGAAGTGGTAAAGCAAATGTGACAGAATACTAACAGGAGTTTCTGGGTAAGAAGTACACAGGTGTTTTTTTGTACTAATCTTGTTATTTCACTGTAAGTTTGAAGTATTTCCAAGTGAGAAGTTATACACACATGTGCACACATGGTGCTAATTTACTTTTAATACTTAATTGATTTTAAGATACTAACATACATGCATTGCTTACAGATGTACACACTGATTTTTAATTTCTTTTAAATAGTGCTGGCCCTAAAGGAGATAACATTTATGAATGGAGATCAACTATACTTGGTCCACCAGGTTCTGTATATGAAGGTGGTGTGTTTTTTCTGGATATTACATTTTCATCAGATTATCCATTTAAGCCACCAAAGGTAAGAATTTAGAAGTGTATTATTTAATACTTACCCTTTTCTTCCAAAATCAGTTTATTCCGAAGATTGTATACTGATGTGTGCCTGTTTTTATTTCATTATATTTTTTATAGATTGAAACAGAAATGCTTAAGTAACCAAGAATTTAAAAATTGTGAAAGTAATTGAACTGCCTTTTATAAATAACTTTGTAATCAGCAGAAAAAAAAAGTTTAATGGTTCAGTGTAAATAAATATATATATATATCAAATTAATTTTGGATTTTTGATCACAATGAGGAAACATCCTGTAAACCTTCCTTAAGAAACATTAGGATAAAATGTTAACCCTTTTTAACAGCTTCAAGAAGTAAGGACTATATAACTTTAATTTTGTGCTACATAACTGGTCTTTATTGATAAGCTGAGAATTAGAAAACCCATAACAAGGAAGAGAGGAACAGATACTATTTACTAAACTCATTTTCTGCCCTCTGAGTAGTGGGTACAATGTACTCAATGTAGTAATGAAAACAGGGTGGCTGGGCTACACCTGTCTCCTTGTTGCCTTGTTCATTTGAAGTATGAATGTGGTAGAGAACAAATGGAGAAGGGTTGAGTTGTACCTTGTAACGACTGGTAATTATTTTGCAAAGCTTAAACATAACAGTTATGGAATGGTTTCCTTTCCTCACTTCTCATTCTAAAACACTCATACCAGAAGGTAAAAACTACTGAAATGAAGCCTGAGCATAATTATTACAGAGATTTCTGACGTGTCAGGGAAAAGTGTGTATCAAGTCTGTAAACCTGTAATTCTGATGAAATGTTTTCCTTTTCAATATGGTTCCTTATGTTTCCCATGCTATTTAAAATGTATATAGCAACTTAAAGCCAGTGTGTGTGAATGAAATTTAGAGTGTGTGTGTCTAATTTTTTTAAAGGTCAGACTATTTAATTCTGCTTAGAGATTAATTTTCAGAACCATATCCAACCAAGTAGTAACAATTCCACCTAGTGGTGTTTATCTCACATTGCAGACACAGAGGTCCAGTACCTTGAGGTATTTTTTCTTAACTACAGCTTTCATGTAATATTTGAGTGTTTTACATTGGGATCCCATCAGAATCTAATATTTAAATGATCTCGTTTAATGCTCCCAGATCTGCCGAATTTTATCTTGCTGAATTAATCAAAATAGAGGGGCTAAACCCTCATGTTAATAATAATTGTATTCACTTTCAAAATGGTGCATATTAACCAAAAGCAACCCCACTGCCATCAAGTCAATTCTGACTCATAGGGATACTAGAGAACAGGATAAAATTGCCCTGTAGTGTTTCTAGGACTGTAAATTTTTACAGAAACAGTCTGCTGCATCTTTCTCCTGCAGAGCATCTGGTAGGTTTGAACTACCATTAACCTGTTGGTTAACAGCCAAATACTGTAACCACTGCACCATCAGAGCTCCTCTGATGGTGATGTTTAAAAAAAAAAAAAAAATCCAAACTCACTGTTTCTTATAGGAGGGACAAAATGAAACTTTGGTAGAGTAGCTCTTAAGTAAATAATGATATTTATTTCTATATGCCTAGTTTTTTACGGGACCTCTAGTGGCTTGGTGCCTAAGGCATTTGACTGCTAACCAGAAGGCTGGCAGTTCAAATCCACCAGCCACTCCTTGGAAGGAAGACGGGGCAATCGACGTCTGTAGACATACCAACTTGGTAACCCAAGGAGGGGTTGCTATTTTTGTATGTTGAAGAGTTAGCAAAATTTTATTTTACACAAAATTCCATACAAGAGAGGAAAATTACAGAGGGAAAAGATCTTTAGATTTTTCTTAGCACCTTTCAGTATAAAATGGCAGTTGATTAATACAAGGGTTTCAGAATATGGTTCTATTTATCATTCATTGGAATTATTTTGATTAATGTAATGGTTATGCATAAATTTAGCATGTTAAATACTTTTGCTGAAGTCTCAATATTTTAGTATTTCTCAATTTAATGGTGATGGGTTTAGTTTTCCATTTTTTAAATATTTAATATTAGTTCAGTCTTTTTGCTAAGGTAATTTTTTAGTATTACTGATTTTTACTTGGACAAGTGAAAAATAAGTAAGATTTCTATAAGTGTAAAATAAGTAAGTTCTGGAAAAAAAAAAAAAAAGCCTCACTGTCATCGAGTCTGATCTGACTCATAGCAAGCAACCCCTTCTTGGGTTTCCAAGGCAAGATCTCTATGGAAGTAGATTGCCCAGTCTTCCTTCCAAGGAGTGACTGGTGGGTTGAACCACCAGTCTTCTGGTTAGCAGTCAAATGCCTTAGGCACTATGCCACCAGAGCCCATTTTGATGTTAGATACCATTACGTCTGTATAGTACTAATTATTTTTAAAGTTTAGATAAAGTTTTGAACTTGAAGAATAATTAATTCTCTTTTGGTCATGGATACTGTTGTATTTGTTGATTGTTAATAGCTGATGGATATTGTGTTTGTTGATTGTTAATAGCTGAAAGGATTCAAAATGCTAATTGTATTATGTTCATAAACTACTCTTTTATACTTGTTGAGTAACAACAGTCAATTACCTGGACATATTTTATTTCCATATTTCACAGCAGTACTAACAGTATGAATTATACATGTACAGTTAAATTTTCTGGAAGCCACCTTAAAAAATGTAAAACTAAATAGGTAACATTAATTTTTAATAGTGTATTTAACCCAATAAATCCAAAGTATTATCATTTCAATATATAATCAATATAAAATATCATTAATTATATATTTTACATTCTCTTTTTGGTGCTAAGTTTTTGAAATGTGGTATGTCTTTTACCCTTTTGCCCACCTCAGTTTTACTAGCCATATTTTATTCACATGTGGCTTGTGTTTACCATATTGGACAGAGCCGTTTTAGAGGCCCATACTCTCTTCTTCTCTACTAAACCAAAGGTCTCTAATTTTTTTTTTAAACCCTGTATCTTTCAAAAATAGAAAAACATGCTATTGAAAGTTTACTATTTTCTTTCCAGATCCCACTTTGGAGATCACATTATACTGCAAGGTCCAAGAGATCAGGAACTTTGCCTTTATTTCTTTGCCACGCCAGTTCACAAATTAACTACCCAGTTAGTATTTGTGTTTGTGGTTATATCAAAACTCTTCATTCAATATTTGTTACTATGATTTCTTTTCTTTTTCTCATAACATCTCAGGGATAAATTGGTTTCCTTTATCCAGTCACTGAAGACCTTGTTTATTTTATTTTACTTTCTTAGTTTAATAAGATAGTGATCCAGCTGTGTGGGAATGAGAAGGTGAGAAATAAAAAGGCAGATAGTGCTGATGAGTTAACCATCCTTCCTCACGGTCCTTCTTCAGTATTTTCTTATACTTGTGATAAGAAGTAGCTGAAATGGTACTAACATTTTCTCCTAATAAGAAACTTAATGTACTCTGCTCTTTATTTTTATTACTTTTTTTAAGTCTTTTTATTTTTTTGGCCCTATAACATTTCTGTTGTTCCTCACTTTCTGTCTTTAAAACTCAGGGGTGTGTGTGTGTGTGTGTGTGTGTGTACACATGTAAACACATACATAGATTAAACTATTATATTAAACTAAATGTTCATTTAGATTAATCAGATCAACTACCCACTTTGGTATAAAATAAATAGCTCCCTCTGTATGGGTTAAAAACAAAATTGCTACATTGAAACCATTTTGTTATTACTTAAAAATAATCTACGATTAACTTCACAGTTAAATTATCTGCTATTTAGTATCATTAGTGATGTGTTATCTATTATTTCTGTTGGGAGAATTCCAGTTGTTAATAAAGCATTCATTTGCTTTCTGTTTTTAACATAACTGCCCTTAGGTTACTTTCCGAACCAGAATCTATCACTGCAACATCAACAGTCAGGGAGTCATCTGTCTGGACATCCTTAAGGATAACTGGAGTCCTGCTTTGACTATTTCAAAGGTTTTGCTGTCTATTTGTTCCCTTTTGACAGACTGCAACCCTGGTAAGCAAATATTTATAGTAAGTGAGGAGTAGGTGCATTTTCTTGATTAGGTTAAATATAGAATGAAAAGTGAATGGTTTTGGTAAAAAGATCAGCGTAATAAGTTGAAATTACCTGTATCCTTTCATTTAGGATAGACTGAAAGTCTCTTAATAATTGCATTTCATTTGCTATTAGCAGACCACCCTACAATTATTTTCTCTCATCATTAGTCTACTTTCTAAATTATTTAACTGTACAAACCACTTCTCCTAGGAGTAAAGCAGTATCTCTGGCATTTTTTCTCACTCCTTCTGTATTGCAGTGTGCTTTAAAGCAAGCACTTAGTAATTAAGAGACTCTTTGTTCTCCTTTTTTTGATTAATGATCAATTATAGTTATATTAGATATAGTAGTATTGGATATAAAAGTTGTTGATAAGAGAGTTGGACTGGATTATGATAATATAAACTCACATTTTTTTAAGAACTTTGTAACTGCCACATAATACTTTAACATGAGTAACTGGACTTGATCAAGTAATGTTTAGGCCTAGGATTTCATATATAAAGTCTTAACTATGTGATCATCTTTAAAGAAGTAGACTAACTTAAAAGAAAAAAAATTGATAAATCATCAAAGGCTATTACTATTACCTTAGGGCCAGTAGTTCTACATGCACTGTAGATTGATTGGGAGGAGGGTAGATATGTATGTAGGTTTTAGGTAGATACTCACTGTAGCATCATTTATCAAAGCAAAAGATTGGAACAAAATCAACAGAGAATACAGCTATTAAAAAGAACGCTTTTTTTTTTTTTTCTTTAAGTGAGAAAGATAGTGTTTTTATAAATGTGTGTAATTCTTTGGAAAGAAATTCTGTAAAAGACTAACAGTGGTTTGCCAGGGAGAGAAATTTCTGAGTAGAAAGAGAAGGAAGAGACTCTTACTGGCTGTTTAGTACACTACAGATATACCATACGTACATATTTTAATTTTTGAAAAATAAAATTAATCTTAAAAAATGAATTTACTATTGTATTAGTCCGTTATTGTAAAAGTTAAGGAAATGTTTATATATTGGAGGACATTTTCTTTGTTGGTTACCAGGGGTGGGAGGGAAG